TCAATTTTTAGACTTCCGTCGAAAACAGAAAAACTAAGCCATGCAACAGACTGCAACATTGTCGGAGAAACAAAATAGCCGCTCAGTTCCATTTTTCTCTTCATTGTTGACAGGATTAAAGTCAAAATATAAGTTCTGTTTCAATGTTCTACCGAAAGGAAAAAAGTCTAATATTTTCAATTTGGCACTTTCTTATTTTTTACGATAAAAAGTCATGAAAATCAAAAATTGAAATCAATTTTCAATTTTTGATTTTAGACGAAAATTGAATGGACGAATGACCCACGGACCAACAAGGGCTGTTTGCATGTGTAAATCATTCACACGAGTCAACTGTCATTACGGTCAAAACGCTTGCATTTAAAGATCTTTAACCCGGAAAAGATTTCTCCCTCAAAATTTCCTTTATATTATTACGGCGCTTGTTTGGAGTTCGATGGTCTTCTGATACTAATATTCCAGAAGAGAAAATAACGTTTTCTGTACAAGCCAGAGTTAAAATCAAAAACAGAAATACGCAGTATGAAATTTTGCCAGTTTAGAAACTGCTTTCACTGCACATTCCTTAGTTTTATCAAACATTTGCATGCTTCCTTAACAAACAACATGCATGGGGCATTTTCCCTTTGTTTGACAGGTTTCTTTATACAACCAGTGTAATTTATTTTTAATATATAATTTGTATACTTTATACAATCAGTCTCATTGATTAATCGGTCATGTGGATTACTTGGGCCTTATTCATCAATAGAAACGCAGCAAATTCCTCTTTTGTGGTGTAGTTATAAATCTTCTTTGGACGTTTGGTACCGAGGTTTAAACACACATTTCCTGAAATATGTAATGACAGCGTTCAATTCAAAAGGAAGGCACGAAAAATTAGCCATTGCGGTACACGTTCTCCCAAATACGTACGACTTTGTCAATTCGCGTTGTTGTTTTGCAGAGGACGGCAAAACAAATGTACAAAGATTCAAAACGCACGCGCAGAACCATTGTTCTACTCATTAAACCTTTTGTTTGGTGACGTTCTCGTTGCCGTCGCCGTCGTGGTTTGCTAAAACTCCCTAGGCAACAGAAGGTTGCCGAAAATTTGTAAGATCAATTTCATTTGTTTAAATCAGTTTCAAAATAGTTTTTAATATAGTCTTAAAAGTATTAAACATATTTTATACAATAAGCGCTATAAAAACTATGAAGTTAATTAGCAACCCTCGCCGGATCTCTGACCGACCAGCTATTTCGATGTGGAAATGTGAAACGCTTGCCCGCATTTTGATGAACTTTTTCGGTCTTGTTAGAAGTAAAGTACGGGAGTGTTTTGATAATGGTACATTCATTTCCTCAATGTATCTTAGTAAGAGCTGTTTAAGAGTCAAGTGCCAATGCAGTCAAAAGAATGAGAAACCAGCCTTTAAAGATCTTTATCTCGGAAAAGATTTCTTCCTCAATGTTTTCCGTTATATTTCCACGGCACTTGTTTGAAGTTCGATGGTTGTCCGATACTAATATTCCAAAAGGGAAAATAACCTTTTCTGTACAAGCCAGAGTCTAAATCATAATTATGAACAGAAATATGTAATATTAGACTTTACAGAAACTGCTTTCATTGCACATTCCTTCGTTTTATCAATACACATTTTAGGCCTCCTGAACAAACAAAATGCACCCGGCTTAATTTTTCCCTTTCTTTTCACAATCAGTGTAATTTATTTTTTAAATATAATTTAGATACTTTATACAATCAGTTTTATTGATTAATCGGTCATGTGCATTACTTGGGCCTTATTCTTCAATAGAAACGCAGCAAATACTGACTATTTAGACATGATACGTAATACAAAGGGAATTAAAACACTTTTCAATCTTCCACCTTCAAATAGTAGCTAATAGTGCCTGACAGATCGATGGTTACACACTGTGACAGGATTAATTTCCTGCACGGTAGATTTTTCACTTTAAACACAGCCCTTCCAACCTATTAGACCCTAAAGCCATTAAGAACTACGAAAGTTTCGATTTATCAGCTATGCGCTATTATGTTTTACATGTATTTGTACATCAAAACAGGTATGACCAAACTTTCATTGCTCTAAATTGATTGAATTTCACTTCCTGTAGAAGCAAATACAAAATGGTATTCTTCTGAAAAACATGCTGCTAGGATAAGAAAATGTAAGGACAAAACTTGGAAACACCTACCACATAAAGAGAAGAAAAAAGCGTAAACCGTGAGTGTTCTTTGAGACGTTTTGCGAACTGTGTCCATCTTTAAATCAGTCCACAACGTCGAAAGGCAGCTGGACTGAGCGTCACACTCCAGGTAACCTCTTTGAATCCATAAAAAATTATTTCGATTCGACCGGGGACGACACGAATGGTATTTTCCGTGTGTTCTAGAAAAGAACTTATGACTCTCAGGAAATCTGGAAAACGTATTTTCGGCTCTATTTTGGGAAAACCGATAACTTTCGGTTTCTTTGTTACTTCTCTATTTCCTTGTATTTGAGCTCTATCTGAGAGAATGCTTTTATAGCTTGCGTAGCTTGGCGGTTTTTTAAGCAATTTGAGCGCCCAATTTGTCTCTCACCCAGGCTCCTCGCGGCTTCGTCTCTCTTTGGCGCTCGTTATCGCGACTTCGCTGCTTTCTTAGCGTGCTAAAATTGCTTAAAAACCGCCAAGCTACGCAGGCTAATGCTTTTATTAGCCATGCATTGATGACAAGTCTCAAAAGAGGATATCTTTCTATTTCTCTCATTTTTACAACTTAACTGCGGAAATAAAGGTTTCATCGTATTTACATTGTCCGCCGTTAAAACAAAATAGAGGATAATACATCAGGGTGCGCGTGCATATGGAATTTCTCTTCTCGTGTTCAATTTTATATCTCACGACTGAGCGCAGCGAACGAGTGAGATATAAAGTTGAACACGAGAAGAGAAATTCCATATTTACAAGCAGCCATGTATTATTTTGTTTATTATTTAAGAAATAGAAAACGTGTACCGTGTTTCTATCGAGTTTTACTATAAATCTACTAGTGTTCTATCACGAATGCCGTTCTCTGATTGGCTACACTACTCACTATCTATTCCGTGATAGATATTGAGTAGCGTAGCAGTGCGCCCTTGTTAACAAAATGAAAGCCGCTTCTTGGCGTTTTCGAAGTGTCTGTGAGCAGGATTTAAATAGAGTTTTGAACGACTACTAGATTTATACTAAAACAATTACATTTTTCGCTCTCGATTTCTTTGCGTGATAGTTGACTCGGGCGGTAGAAATCTCGAGCTCATAATCTAATTGTTTATTAGTATAAATCTACTAGCGTTCTATCACGAATGGCGTTCTCTGATTGGCTGAGCTACTCACTATCTATTCTGTGATGGATAGTGAGTAGCGTAACAGTGTGCGCTTTTTAAAGATCTTTAACGCGGAAAAGATTTCTTCTTCAATTTATTCCGTTATTTTTCCACGGTGCTTGTTAGAAGTTCGATGGTTGTCCGAAACTAATATTCCAAAAGGGAAAATAACCTTTTCCGTACACCCAAAGTCGAAATCATAATTATAAACAGAAATATGTAATATTAGACTTTGCAGAAACTGCTTTCATTGCACATTCCTTCGTTTTATTGATATCTTCTGAACCAACAACATGCATCCAGCTTTTTCCCTTTGTTTGACAAGTTTCTTTATGCAATCAGTGTAGTTAACTTTTTAAATGTACTTTAGATACTTTATACAATCATTTTCATTGATTAATCGGTCATGTCCATCACTTGGGCCTTATTCATCAATAGAAACGCAGCAAATACTGACTATTTAGATATAATACGCAATACAAAGGAAGTAAAGCATTTTGTCAATCTTCCACATTCAAATAATGCCCGACAGATTGATGGTTACAAACTTTGACAGGATTTTTTCCAGCACGGTACTTTTTCACTTTAAACACAGCCCTTCCAACCTATTAGACCCTATAGGCATTAAAAACTACGAAATCTTCCATACATCATCCAAGTGCCATTATCTTTTACATATATTTGTACATGAAAATAGATATTTAAATCATACATTGCACGACTGAAGGCCAGAATTTAATTTATATACATATTATGATGCTTTCAGATTTCATGTTTCACAATTATTTGCAGGATTATCTGTATAATGCAGGCTATTTCAACGCGTACAGCATTCTTATTGCAGACTACTTTTAAACACTCTTACATAAGCTACATTTAGAAAAAAGATTTGCATAATCATGCAACTACAAATTATTGAAAGAAGAGATGAAAAAATTTTTAACTACTTTTTTCCTCAATAAAGAAGGATTTTGAGTTTTACACCGTTGTATTGTTATTTGTTCTCTCCATTTAACCCAGAACATACTGGCCTGATACATCAAACATACAATTCACGGTGGATTCGTTTCGGTAACGTTACCCCGGCGATCACCTCAGGGGAATTTCGCCTCCGTCACGTGACCCGAAACGAACTGACCGCGCGGGAATGGGAAGGCTTCGAAACAAGACAACCTTACGATAACGCTGAGTACAGTATTCTGGAACAGGAAAAATTTAAGAGATTCCGTATGGCGCCATAACCAAGCTAATCACAACACTTAACGCTATCAACCAGCTGTTCTTCTGTATACTGTAAGATCCTGGGTTGGTTCCAGTGGGTGCTGTCGTGTCGGCAGCAGATGTTGCCGTTGTCCTGGTTGTGACAGTTGTTCGGTTGATATCATCTACAGCTGCAAAGAGAGAATGTAATGGTTGGTTTTATAGTCAAAATCAGACATTGCATATAACTTCAAGCGTCAAGCTTGTTTAAGCGTTGACAATTTCTAAGCGATGATCAATCGTGAACAGCGACATCTACCGCTTCAACTAAAATCGCGGTCTCAGAATTTACCCCCTCTCCCAGTCCAACTAAGCTGTCACTCACAAAGAACAGACGCACAATTGACGTGCGTCAGTCACACTGACCTCGTGGCGAGATTTCTTTAATCCTGATCATGTAAACTCGAGGTCCTTTGGTCATAATCTTAGGATGTATCTGGCATTGAAATTCCAATCCACGGTCAGCCTCTGTGGCATTGGACAGAATGATTGACACCCCGTCTGTCTTCAGTCTTGTTAGGTACTCTGGACAGGAGCTGATGCAATTTTCCACCAACCTGCATGGCGAGGAGGGGCTACAGTATGCTATTTTCACTTTCGTTCCATCTTGTGAGACTCTGTACCACTCAATATCTTCCACTGTTTCCTCAGAAAAGATGTCGTGAAATGTTTGACTCAGGTCCAGGTTTTGCCCAGCTGCGGAGGACAGACCTAAAATTAGAAGAGGGAGACGAAACAAAACAAATTATATTTTCATAAATAAAATGAACTTAAATTGCATCATGTTCCCACATGTAACTACTCTGCACTTACAACTGAACACAGGAAACATTTTTTTTTCACTGAATTATAATCAAGCAGTCTAGCCATGATTTCTACTTACAATGCTTTGCAGAAGTTACAATTATTTTGTTAGCAATGGGGCCTCTGTTTCCGCTGCGTTCTATGACACAAGTGTAGACAAGTCGATCGTTCAGTTTCATCTGTTTCACAAGAAGTGTTCCA